TCATTAAACAAGTCACAATCCGGGTAGACCTTCATGAGGTTGTTAAACGCAGCAAGAACACGTGGAATTGGAGATTTCGCACGTGCATTAGTGCGGGAAGTAGGCACCGCTAAGAGCCGATGGTTCCTATTGCGAAGATAGTTATCAGGCACGTATAGTCGTATCAACTCATTGTGAAGATCTGGAGCATCAGTTAATCCACGACACACTTTAAGCATTATGCCTACTTGGTCAAACTCCCGCCTGGTCTCCAGAGTGTTGTATCCAAGACATCCAGTCAGGAATTTGGTTGGATACAGATACGGGTAGTAACCAAACAGACGTTTATACAAAAATCGTAGGAACTTTTTTTGTACCTTTTCTAACAAAAGAGCATAAGTGGCCTCATGAGGATTCCACACGCTAGAGCTGGCTTCGAGCTTGCTCCGAACAAGCGTGTTGTATAATAGCCGAATGACATGGTCTTTACGGAAATCTTTTGAGTTTCTAAGAACGAAACCAAGTCTCTTGAAAGATTCCTTGGCGACGACGACAATGTGCTCATGAAATGTAAGTTTCTGGTCAAAAGTGACTCCCAAATCTTTCGTCGTTGTTGTTGATCTGGACAAAACTGTACCATTCAGTCTATGAAGTATATATAATAAAGGGACACAATTTTTTAAATCAAATTTCTAGATTTTTGTGCATTTGGTGTAATTTAAAGTAGACTTCTTTATTGACACCAGTGTTTCTTGGTTGTGCTTAACTGATGGACTGTATGTATAATAGATGATAAAATCTAGGTACCATGTGTTACCTACATATGTGATAGTTAAAACATTCCAGATACATACTTTTCCAAATGTCTGATTACTAAAATTTAATCACACAATTAGCATTTAGCAAGCGCTATTAATGCCTACAAGCTTTTTGACGATCTTTATACCGTTTGTTTTATATCAAGTTTCTAAAGCAAACTTACTTAACAAATACATTAGCACTCGATTATGTAAATTGCATACCACTTGCGTACTTAAATCAAATATATCTAACAAAACTAACACATTAGTCATTTTTTACGAAAGTAAGCATACATTCAAAGGATGTATTGAAATCTGAAACCTTTTCCATTACGATTTCAGGCGGGCAATTGTTATTTCAAGTACTTCAGACCTTTCAGTTCATACCAATGGAATTTCTAAATCCTTGTTGAAAGTAGTTTTCGTGATTGAAGCTGGGATAATAGTTTACAACTTCAATAATAGTTATTGTACTATCGATTAAATTATAATAAAAGCGTAGGTACCTAAGTAAAATGGTGATGACTGAACACAATATTAGAAATTGGACCTAATAGATTTATTTTTTATAGAATATGAGGCAAACGAGCAGACGGATCACCTGATGGTAAGCGATCAGCGCCGTCCATGGACACCCGCAATACCAGAGGAGTCACAGGTGCGTTGCCGGCCTTTTAAAAAGGAATACGCTCTTTTCTTGAAGGTTTGATGGTCGTATCGGTTATATAGAATCGGTTTCATTTCAACGGTTTCGTTTCTTAAGAAACTTAGTTCAAATAACTTATTGGTGTTTACTTTTAACCCTTAAACTGTCACTTAACTAAAAGTTACCTAGCTTAACTCGTCGAGTACCGGTTTTATAGACACAATTAAAGAACAATAGGTCGCGGTCACCGGTGACCGCTTGGTGTTTGACAGTTTAAGGAAGCACCTAAACTTATTTGACTCTTTATTAAAATGTCCCTTAACTTAGGGGTTTCTTTAAATTTAGGAGAGGCTGGTCAAAACTGGTTGCCTTCGATTGTTTAAGTAAGAGCCAACATTGATTTTACGCCGAAAGTGCCGAATTTTATTGAATTATCCTTTCTGTTCAAAATCCAAGTAAAAATATAAAATTGATAAGATCAACGGAAGGCACTTAGAGAACGAGAAATAGGTACTATTTCTAAAACTCATTGTATTTCGGGTGTTGTAGCTAAAAATATTACTTTCAAAAGTGTTGTCTTATGATTTGCATTTAAAAATACACGCTTCACATATGTCCTAATACTGAAAAGCTATTAAATTTTAATTTGTATTTAAATATCGTGCCATCTTTGTCATTTTACAAACAATTTGTAGTGATGTGATAGAACTATACTTAAGTGCGACTTAAAATTCAATGGCGTTTGTGTATTTGGAAATTAATATGAAAATAACATAACATCACGCCTTTTATCCCCGAAGGGGTAGGTAGGCAGAGGTGTACATTATGCCACTGTACAATGTAACACCCGCTTTTCACTATTAATGTTATGAGTCCCATGTAATAGGGGGTGAGCCTATTGCCAGAATTTATAAAAACCCAGTAGTACTTTGCCCGACCCGGGAATCGAAACCGAGACCCCTTGACCGGCACTTGCGACCACTCGGTCAACGAGGCAGTCATATGTAAATAGGACGTGTTTTAACCATGTGTTATTTAATAGCGTTAGCACAAATGTAAGTATAATATAAGGTCAGCAGTAGCTTAATAAATATCCAAAAAATAACTCTCTAAAGTAGAAAGAAAAGAAAATAAACTCACCATTACTCAAAAATAAAATATTTATTCATCATTCAATCATGTGGTCATATTGAATAACAATTAATATAAAGAGCTCGGATATACATCGATATACAAAATCTCACACGAAACAATCACACATAACTCTAATATACTCTATAAATACACTTCATCATCTTTTCTTGAAAAAAGAGATCGTACCTTTATACATACACATACGTACATACATGGTGTATTTATTATTTTTCAACAAAGACATTTTTAGTAGGTACACAGTTATCATAATTCCCAATAATTCCTAACAGGTAATCTCAATGCAGTCGTGGTGGCCCGGAGGTTTAAGACTCCCACTTCTCATGCATGAGAGTGCGGGTTCGAAACCTACCAACGGCAAGTACCAATGTGACTTTTTCCGAGTTATATGTACTTTCTAAGATTATTTAGACACCACTGACAAACGGTGAAGAAAAAACATCGTGAGGAAACCTGGACTTATAATTTCTAATTATAAGTTTGAAATCGCCAACCCGCATTGAGCAAGCGTGGTAGAAGAGGCTTTGCTCAGCAGTGGGCATTTATAGGCTGTTGATGATGATGATGAATCTCAATGACCTATCTGTTGCTATAATTAAAGATTTTTAACATAAGCTCAATAAATAGTCACAGACAACTATATACCCAAATACAAGAGTTGGAACTGGGAACAAATTTGAAGGCGGTTAAAATACCAACCATCCTTCTAAGTGTAACGAATACTTTTCAAAAATTGCAGCAAAATCGGTTTAGCTAGTCATCATCATCATCGCGGACAAAAAAACTTATGCCGGAATACTGAAACGTTACTCAATTTTAAGTCGTGCATAAATATCGTGCCATCTCTGTCATTTTACAAAGAATTTGTAGAGATAGAACTATACTTAAGCACGACTTAAAATTGAGTAGCGTTTCAGTATTCCGACATTTAGGCCGTCCTGGGCCTTTAGCCCAACGCCACTTTAGCGCTAGTCTACAAAGAGAGTAGAAATCAAAATGTATGAGGATGACACAGACAAGTGTCAAAATTTAGGTCAATCCCTTATAATTTGGTTTACTACTCTACATGTAGACAAGCGCTAAATGGCATTTGGCTACAGCTGCTGTTTTGAAGTCGGTTAATCAAGTGTTTCAAATTCTGTCACTTATCCAAGTTTACCTTCAGATAGGTTATTGACATTACCCATTACGCTTTTTAAATGTGGTCTCTACAAACCCACGATTTTTACACCCTTACAATTTGCCTCGATCAATACTTGTAACTTTATAAGTACTCGCTTCTGCAATCAAACTATTCATTGAACCTACACCATGATTTATTTTTTTAATTACATATAACCAAGATTCCAATAAAAGCAAATAAAAATAACTTATTGCAATCGTTTAAAAGGAATTAAATCGTCTTTAGGTACGGCAATGCATATTCTTGATTGATTAGTGAACCCATTTCTAATCGAATACGAAAAATAAATGCTTGAAGCATACCTACATTACCTTTCAAAATATTAATAATTCCTAGATTTAATTTCTGGTTCTAGAAAATATTAATTATTGTGTTTACAAGTATCTAGGCTGTCTCAAGTTTTCTAATATCTACAAACTCCTTAATTTGGTTTTCCAAGTGACATTTAATGTTTTAAAACTTTCAACGCAATTAGCCGGGGAAACGGTTTCCCGAAATTAGGTATTGTACTTTTAAGTTAAATTAGAAATTTCATTTATTATTTAAGAGATTACTAGCGTTATCTAGTTCTAGAACCAAGTATTTAAGTGGAAACTCCTTCTAACTGTTACTAAAGCTTTTGTTTCGATTAAACTCTTTACGTAGCATTGTACTATCTAAAAGTTCTTTTAGGAAGCAATTTCCCTACTCAAGCGTAGAAAAAAATATCTGCAAAAATAACAGCAATTTCTCAAAAAGACCAATTCCGAAGTTATGATCTAATTTGATAAGTACTGAAACAAAAACGATTAGTCAAAAATGTAGAATTAAAGTTACGCGTAGCTAAAGTTTGCCACGACCAATTAATTCCATCATTTGCAGTTAAACTGTTACGTGACCGGTTAATTTAATTAGAGACGTTTATGTAACATTATTGGGTTCATAGTTGGTAGAACTTCTGCGAAATTTACTTATACAAATCCGTCGTCTAATCCCTCAACAAAGTTGTTTTCTAATTACAATCACAAGAGACCTTCAATTTACTATGAAAAGCGACGGTTCTGTTCAGAATAAAAACTCAAGTTAATTAAGTGAAAAATGTTGGTTTAGCCTAATGAACGTCGGGAGTTGACTGAACTACCCAATTACTTTGAAGCGAATCTCTCGGCAAGTCAAGTCATTTTTCCTAAGTAAAAACGAGCGAGATTCGCCGCATTTAATGTCAGTCGGAATGTAATAGTTTAGTTTCTAAGGCCGTATATCATTTCTTCCCCAGTAGGTCGTCTAACATCTCCTGATTGGTCATGTTGTCACCGAGTAGATTCGTCCTGGAGTTTCGTCTACCCGATATAGATCGCTTCCGTCCCATGGGAGCAACATCGGTAAATACTTGATCCGTCAACATTTTAAAGTTATTGTTCAATTCATTTAAAGCTGACTCAGGAATTTCTACGTTCGCGTTAACAAATTCATTAATTTTATCGACGGCTTCTAGTTGTTGCACTAATTTATCACTCTCAAATCTCGATTGGTTGAAATATTTCATATGTTTGTCTATAACTTTGCTGCTTTTCTCTATGTCTTGAATGATATCTTTGCAATATTTTTCTAAAGGCTTGCTGGGTAGTTTTCGTTCTATTGAACAATTTTCACGTTTCATTTTCACTTCCATCTCTCCTTGATGTACAGCTACAGTTGTGATAGAATCCTCAATGGCTGCCTGTTCAAAGAAGGATACATTAGAGTTTCTCCTACCTCTCGACTTGGGTCGCTCCGTCTCTTCTAACTCCACTTGTTCTTCTATAGATTCTTCTGTTGATTTCCTTCTCAAAGCGCTCGTCTTTCTAGACGAAGGTTCGTCACTATTCTTTATTTTTTTCATAAGATCTGTCTTCATTGCTTCCATTTTCATCTGCAGTTCATCGGGGGAAGATTTTAAATCTAGATCGTCGTCAAATATGGTGAGGTCTGCCATTCCGTCTTGTACTGTTTTAGCCAACTCCATAATTTCATCAGATTCTTTCGAGCTCTTTCTGGTTCCGGGGTTAGGAGTAGATCTTGAAAGGGTGGAGCTGGTTCTGCTCCTTGCATATCGAGAGCGAGGTTCAGTGGAAGACGACGATTCTTCGTCATGAGACAATGCACTGCTGATACTGCGAGAGTTCTCACATAGTTTCGCCATTATGTTTTGGTCTACCTGAAATACAAACATTGTTACAATTTATACTGCGTTTTCGTCAAATCTCTCGATTATAAATGGTCTAACAATAACTACTTGAATGTCACATTGGTTCCCTTGGCTATATAAATAAATATCTAAGTAGCAGAAAAGACAATAGATACACGTTTCATATAGAATTGAACAATGGTGTCGTCTGAACAAAAGGATTCTCCGGGGAAATAATACGCGCAAACATTTATGTACGCATTCGTAAATTGGACGAGACAGATTTTGTCAACGTAATCTCAATACAAATACTAAAATCTGGGTCTAAACTAACAAGGATTATTCTGTTTGCAGCTTAAATATCCACTCTAGTATAATTCTATGCATGGAAATATGAAACCGTTTCTTCTATTTTATTTTAAGGCCTAAACTTATCCTAATGAAAATAGATTTAATAAAATATCACACAATCCCCAACGGCATACACCTTATCCATTCCGTTTCTTAAAAAATAACAAACATCACGCCTTTTATCCACGAAGAGGTAGGCAGAGGAGCACATTACATTTTTAACATGTCATTGAAAACTGGTATTTACGCAAAACGTTTGAAAGTCTCGCGTGTCCAACCCATACCCAAAGGTAATGACCATTCTCAAGTAGAAAATTACAGGCCAATAGCTATTCTCTCTGCGCTTCCAAAACTATTTGAATCGATTTTACACAAACACATTAGTTTACAAATACAACCACATTTATGTGATTCACAACATGGATTCAGATTTAACCGCTCTGTAAGCACTAATCTCCTAACAGTAGTAGACATTATTTCGCAACACTTAGATAAAAATATTCAAGTGGATGTAATTTATTTTGATTTCAAAAAAGCCTTTGACCGTGTGGATAATGATATATTACTTGGTAAACTCGATGATATAGGTTTCTCACCGCAATTACTTAAATTTTTCTCAAATTACCTCCGTGATCGTCAACAATATGTAAGACATGGTTGTTTTATTTCTCCACCTTATCACACTCGCTCCGGTGTTAGTCAGGGTTCGGTATTGGGCCCTTTGCTGTTTGGATTGATGGTGAACGACCTAGAATCTTGTCTCAAGCATGCGAGGTGTTTATTGTATGCTGATGATCTTAAACTTATTTATGGGGTGAAAAATTTACAGATACCTTACAGAGTGATATTAATGCTTTGTACCAGTGGAGCAATGAAAATAAACTCCATTTTAATACAGCCAAGTGTAATGTAATGTCCATTAGTCGAGCACATAATCCTTTGCATGTTAAATACTTTCTGGGGTCAGAGCTCATAAATCGAGTCCACACAGTAAAGGACTTGGGTGTAGTCTTCGATCCTCGACTAAACTTTCACGAACATATGAGGTTACTTACAATTGACTCTTATCGCAGATTAGGTTTCGTTATCCGTAATATGCGTGAATTTGATAATCCTAAAGCTATCAAACTTGTGTACATGGCCCTAGTTCGTACCAAACTGGAGACTGCATCTATTGTATGGAATCCTCATGAGAGTACTTATGCTTTATTGCTGGAGAAAGTGCAAAAAGCATTTCTTAGATTTCTGTACAAAAAGCTATTTGGGTACTATCCATTCTTATATCCCACCAAGTTTTTACTGGGCATGTTAAATTTTAATTCTTTGGTAGTGAGGCGAAATTACTCTCTTATTATTTCTATCTGTAGTACTCTGCGAGGACAATCTGACTGTCCGGAGCTGGTGGCAAAGGTGGTACGGTTGTTTGTGCCCCCAGTTCTGAAGCATCAGCTTAGGCCACGTAGGCACCCCTTACTGGCTGTCCCAGTAACGCGAACAGTCGCGCATGTAAATTCTCCGCTTGTTCGAGCATTAACGATGATCAATGCTTTCCTGGCATCCGCACCAGAGTGTGATTTGTTCGCAGCGAGATGGAAGGATGTATGTCGTGAATGTGTAAGATTTTGTGAGAAGATGGACGGCTGATGAATTAGTTTTAAGTAATTATAATTATTGTACTTTTTTATATAAGATACCTATCACATAAGTGTAAATAAGTAACATTTGTTTTATTGTTTAACTGTATAATGTTTTGGCTTGTGCTGTAAAGTTATACATGTGCTTATAATTAAATAAATAAATAAATTACGGCGCTTAATGCCACTGTACAATGTAATGCCCACTTTTCACTATTAATCTTATGAGTCCCATGTAATAGGGGGTGAGCCTATTGCCATCTACCGGGCACAATTACAGACTCCGTGCTAATACTATTTTTTTTTAAACCCAGTAATACTTTGCCCGACCCGGGAATCAAACCCGAGACCCCTTATCCAGCAGCCGCACTTGCGACCACTCGACCTACGAGGCAGTCGTTCATAATAATTCATAAGAAATACAACTTACATTATAAATATTCCTTTCAGAATAAAAATCTAACAAAAATTTAAGCTTATTTAGCCTTAAATCGGCAACTTTAGACCTTTATTTAAAAATAGTCGGCGCTATTCATAAAACACAGTAATCCCACTATTTTCATTCAAATCATTCAATAATCAGAAGATTGATAAAACCTTCTAACAATTGCGTAAAAAGCATTTGCGTAGCTTTAGAGTATTTTTTTGTAAACTTGACGCTTTTGCGTATATTTCTGCCAGTTACATTATTTTATTAAAATCTATTATGGGACAACAAAAGCAATATAATAAATATGATCAATCCACATGATGTATACAATTACTTACTGGAGATGGAATAATTACTCAAAAATTTTAATTACCTCTATCTCCAGTAAGCAATTCTACAGATACCTAGACAGCTTATTACTTGTTGCCCGCGACTTCGTCCGCGGCGAACATAATTCCTATTTATCCCATGAGAGCATTTAATCGGAATAAACACTATCCTACCACCTAATTCAGAATCAGTCCATACCCTGCATGTACACCAAATTTCATCAAAATGTACCAATCACCATTCAGTAGTTTCAGTGTGATTGAAGGACAAACATCCAAACAATGATAATATCACATCTTATACTATTATATAAAGCGGAAGAGTTTGTTTTTTTGTTTGTTTGTTTGAACTCGCTAATCTCCGTAACTACAAGTCTGATTTGAATAATTCTTTTTGTGTTGGATAGCGCATTTATCGAGGATGGTTTTATGCTATAAAACATCACGCTACGACCAATAGGAGCTGAGCAGAGCGCGTGAAACCGCTCGGAAATAGCTAGTTTATAATATTAGTGTGATGAACGTTTGTAAAATAACATAATTCCAAGATGACCAACTACTTACAATCTGTCTGTCTTCCCGTCTCTCGTCTCTGCCCCTAGTCGCACTGGTGTCAGTCTCCGACCTCGTCTTAACCGACTGCTTGGGTAGAGATATGCTGGTCCCTGACGCAGTCTTCACTGGAGACTTGATCGATCTACTCGCTGCTGTACTTAGCATCTTCTCTTTCATCTGATAATCAAAGTAGTTATTATTTCCCTAGGTGGTTCTTAGACAACCATAGCTATGTTATTGTATGAAACGCAATAAAAATGTATTGTATAGCGTTTAGATCTAAATTTCATATTACCTCCCATGGGATTAATTCGAGAATACAATTTATCTGACCTATTAGGCTATGCTGTAATTTTTAATTCGAAAGATCGAGGTTAACTCGATTGCGGTCTAACATGTCATTGGTTGTGAGAATAATCTCGACAATGCGATCAAGCTCACCTCGAAAGTTCGTATTGACATCTTACAGTACCTATTCTGTAAGATTTATATCTTATATGCCTTGGCTATTGCCTAGCTGAATTTTTTGCGGGTTAGCGGGAGTGCGAATATCGCTCAACGGTTAATCCCTTATCATTACTGTACAATGTTACCGATATTAATTTGGATTTTTAATATGTTTTCAGAAAACCTAGATCGATTTTTTTAATTGTTTGAAAACAGTTATCGATTAAAATAAGTAAGCTAATAGTTCAAACAACGTTTCTACCCTGACGAGTATTTAAAGAAAAAATAATGAACAAGAAATGGTAACAAGGAAAGAAGGATGTTCAAAAACAAGAAATTCACAACAAACAATGAACAAGCGAAACACGGAACAAGAACAATGTTATGAACATTTTAATTACTTACACTGAAATGAATAATTACATTATACGACAGGAAATTATTCCACGAACATTGTGACGAGAACAAGACATGTCGAGATACATATTCACGGTATTTTAAGGAACAAAATAATGAATTATATATATCTGTTACACTCCAGTAATTTCGCTTTTCAGGTATTGTTAACAAACACTATTATATCTTTTAGGAAATGCCAAAAGTTCTTGTTTTTGTTTCTATATTTTCCAAGGGTTCGGTATCAAACTTATAAGGTATATGGACTACAAACATTTCAAGTCATTTAACGAGTTGTCTAGTTGCCCTCTAGCATTGCAACCTAGCTTTTTAGGAAATAAGAGACTTGACGTAGACTATACAAGACATTGTTATAATAGTAGTTTTTCAAAATAATAATTGTTAAGAATGTCAGGATTTCAAGAGACCATGTTCTCTGTAATTACCTGTTTCTGTATTTCTGAACATCCGATGTCTGAGCGGTCAGTTAGAAAATAAGGAGGAGAATTGCTACAATTCACATGTTTGGTGGATAGTTTAAAGAATGCTGTTGGTTCATTGAAAACTGAGTACTCCTTAATCAAAAATAAATTACACCGACTGTTCAATACAAGAAGGTATTAAAAAATCACACTTTCATTGATTCATTTTAGTATTTTCATAGCATTTTTTTAAGAAATAAGTATGCTGTTTGATGCTAAAAAACGTGACATCACAATTCACAATCTCGTACAAAATTTATAGAAAACTGTCGGTTTCGGCAGTTCGAAAAACGTATTAAAGACTAGTTGGCAAATAATTAATTTCTAGTTTTGGGATCAAATCCAAACAATGACAATCTCAATTCAAGGCCATCAATTAGTTGACAAATTCTTTAACTTACCTCAATAATCGTCGTAAGTTTGTCAGCATTATTGATGGCGAGGTCCAGGTCGTGCCTCGTGTCCTTGTGCTTGTTGATCTCGTTCTGCAGTTGATGCCTAAAGTTCTTCGCCTCAAGAGCTATGCGCCGCTGCAGCATGGTGATCATCTCATTTTGTTGCTGCACTTTCGAACTCAAATCCGTCACTTGAGCCTGGAGTTTTTCACGTTCGAGAAGGTTCCTGGACAAGTAAAACTTTACTCAACTTTCTTTTGTCGGGTCTAGGTTGTGATATTCAGGTAGGTAATAATTGTCGTATCTATTTATTTTTCTTGCTTATGTCACGGCAAATTGGTGTTTGGAGTGCATTTTTTATGGAATAGGAGGCAAACTAGCAGACGGATCACCTGATGGTAAGCGATCAGCGCCGTCCATGTATACACGCCTACATGACTGAACTAGGGAGTACGAGTGCAAATCTGCCCACCATTTCACAAGTAATGTTGAGGAAAATATGCACCAAAATTATCTTATCTGATATCAACCCGTAATTGAAACACTCGACTAATAAACCTTTGTTCTCCAATCACACAAAGCAGGCAAAAACTATAATGAATATGGTCAAAAGCCCATCAGACATCGACAAGACTTCCTTTCCCCTTGGCTACCTAACATCAAACTTCGTCCCATTAACAAGAAGGAGAATCATTCTTTATCACATGGCAGTTTAAATTACTAGAAACCCTGTACCCATTGCAAATTAAGTTCAATCTCCAGTACCTCCCATCTTCCTCAACCCTCACCTGTCTTTACTGAGCTCCAGCAAATGCTGGTGTTCATCCTTTAGTTGTTGTAACTGCATGTCTCTCTCCTTCAGCTTCATGGTCGCCTCCTTATACTGCTGCTTCAGCTGTTTGTACTTCGACTGCTGTATCCTCATCTCTTCATTGTGAGAGTTCAGGACTTGTGGCAATTCAGCGTTTGAGTTTTCGTATCTATTTGGATATTTTAATTGTTTATTAGATAAGGTAGGAATAATTAAATCAAATCTTTTGTATGGAAAAACAAATTCAATGATAGGTAGTTTACGTCAGTCGTCAGGATTATTATATTTTACAAAACTATAAAAACTAAGTTGCAAAACACAACCTTGAATGGCAGTAAATATAATAAATAGTATCTTACCTTTGCAGTGCGATTTCTTGTTTCTTCTGGATAGCTCGTAGCACTCTGTTTTCGTTACTTAGTTCCTAGAAAATAATTATTTATTTTAAAGCCAACATGTTTATATTCGTGTCTCATCAAACTATAAAGAGCTCTATCTTCAACCCTGTAAGCTCTGTGGCAAGGTTTTGATGTTATAAAAAGCCATTAGTGGATAGAAATAAAATGATGATGTCGATGATGATGCGTACAATACCTGCAAGTGATAATGCGCATCAGACAGCTGGTTCTGCAGCTGCTTCACCCTGTGTGTCTTGGCGGACAGCACCCGCTGCGTGACGTATCTATCTCCCGACTTGCCGAGCGATGTGTTCGACGCGTCCATCGTTAAAGGGTTCATACGCTTGCGCTTGTTCAACAGGTTCAGACGAGAGTTACTGCTGTATACGCTCTCTAGGGATTCTTTTCTAGAACGTCATTCAATGGTTTTAATAATAATAATTGTCCACATTCCTAGTTATAATGAGAATTTCGGTATTCTAGTAAACCTTTCCTTGTTATCGGACTTAAAATACTCTAGCCTGGCTGTTCACTAACGAGGCAGTCTATAGGTATATAATAAATAGCTGTATGCTGCTAAAACCACAGTCGTAGCGTGATACAAACCCGCTGCGATAGACTTTACGGCTATGAGCAGATATCCAAATAAAATATTTGCACAAACACGCAACAGCTTTAACTGTAGGTCAGGATAAGTAGTCGCTAAGCGAAATAGCATTGAAAAGTACATCGAAGAACTGTTACCTATATGTAATGTATATAGGTAATTTCTATGAAGGATACCTTTGTTATCAAACAACAATTAGGTAGGTAAGACTAAGAAAACTTTTATATTCAAACTCTTTTCACATTTTCCCTATTTATAGGCTTTTCATCAACTGTTTATATTGTATGCTGAATAAAGTTTCATTTATTGGTATTTAAAGAAACTAGCTAGGTAACATATACCTATAAGAATCGTTCAGAAATTCAGTTCCGTAAATTCTGGAAGACAAAGTTCAGAATAAGTATTGTAAAGAAACTTCAGCATATTTTTATACAAAACCACAAAACACACTAATCAACTGCATTTTTCTACAACACTAACATAAAAACAGCTTACCCTCACCTCAATAACACAGGAAATCACAGAACAAAAACAATTTCCTTCCAACTTGAAATAGAAGGAAATAATTTCTAACTTACCTTTGATCTTTACGTTTATCCTCCGGAATCAGACTCAGCACTGACATCATTCGCTTTCACATACAAAACACCATTTTTACAAAACAAACGCTCGAAAAACGAGCAAATTATTTATTGCTAAAATAAATTCAATCGACAGCCAAATGTTGTTACTCTGGTTGCTATGGTAACCGATAACATGTCAATCGATACGTTCGAAATTCGTAATGATACTGGCAGGTTGCGCCATTTGGATTTCTATTATCTATTATACATGTGTGTCGATGACTCGTATGTGTGTCAAATGAGGTGGAAATAGATCGAACTTACGTTATGGTTCTATTTTTAGCCCCCAACTACCAATAAAGTTGAAGTCTGCAGTGCTTGCTTCAGTAATAAAGTTATGTCATTTCTAGACAACTTAAGCAGCAACTATTCAGGTTTTAGAGAAGAAAGATCTAACATATTGTATTAAATACCCGAATATTAAAAGTGTATCAGCCTAGAACGAATTAATTACAAGATAATGTTAACCAAGGCATGATTTTTTTTTAATCTTTATCTATTAACGAGGGTTTGATCACGCAAAGGCATGATTTTTGATACATCTCATAATGTATCATGTGCAATCAAAATAATTACTGACGCCCAACTGCGCCCAACAGAGGCTGACTTTTTCAACCCATAAAGTTTCACATAGAAAATAAAAGCTAAGTGATAATTATTATGAAATAAAACACAAGTAGTGTAACCAAAATAATATACTTAATCAACAAGTCACTTACTGTACATCGTATCAACTTTTTTTATATACATAAACACTTCACAATTCTCAATATTTATTTATTTTTCTCTCGTGTCAGTTTGCTAAGTCTGGGATTGAGACGTGACGTCACAAAAATGGCCTCATACAATAAAATAATAAATATAAAACAAGTTTCGACATCAATAAATATTTAGATGCATTTTACTTTTAACTCCTTATTTAAGAGGAAATTATTTGACAATATAAATAAAAAAATAATAGGAGTTAAAACCATGGAGAATGTATTCAATTTTTTATCGAGATTAATAGACACGGTTTTAACCCTGCCTGTGGTATAGGCTAATAATAATTTAGGGCCACTTTTGGACGAAGCTGCGACTGTCGCGTTCGAAATTTATGAACATGTGGTCTTAGAACACACGGTCATTGGATATACACAATAAATAACATCACAAGAACCTCATACATCGAAGGAGTGTGTCGTAAGCCACAATAAGATGGTCACAAAACTATAATTCGAAAGTCCGTTCAAGTTCGGCTAAACATTAAACATTTGCTAAACAAAAACTAAGTTTTTACAAAGCAAAAATAATAAAATTTCTCTATATTATGCAATTATATCTATTTAGTTTAACTTTTAGAAAATCATAGTGTCTTTCAGACGGCGCGCTTAAAATAAATTTGGTATAAACATAGCACTGAACCCAATCGTCATCAATAAGAGAAATTCAATTTTATTTCCGACCCAATTCTTTTATTTAGACTTAGATTTGTGGCATTTATTTAAAGGAAACAAGCCAGCACTTCACAGGTAATTGAGAGACGTTTTTATAGTCAGCGATCGAGCTATCTATCTAACAGCGTGATCATCACGTTCAAGTTATAATCACAAAGGTAAAGGTCTTCAATAAAAATTGTCTAGGGATTGGTCTAGGGTGTTTCACTTGGGTACGCCGGGTACCGTGGAGGCGGCCGCACTAGCCGCGGTGGTGGGGGCGGCGGCGGGGACGGGCCCCCGCGGGGGGGGCGCGGGGGCGGCGGCCGGGGCCTCGCGCGGGGACTCCTTCTGGCGCTGCCACAGGCGCGAGTACAGGCTGCTCGGGTTGGCCACCAGCTGCGAGTGAGTTCCCCTCTCCGTGATACTTCCGTTCTCCATGACGAGTATCTCGTCCGCGTCCGCCACCGTCGACAGTCTGTGCGCTATACAGATTGACGTCCGACCAACTGTCGCTGCCTTCAACGCTTGAAGGATAGCCTGGAAAATAAGAAACATTACATATTAGTTTTATGGAATTCAAATTGATCAACTGCACTCCAAACTTTCACACATTATGCACAAACAACATTCTTTAGGCATCACTGTAATCGGCTATGAAAATCACATCAGAAGCCAATTTTATGGTAAAATTAAGTAAGTATAAGTATGACAAAATAAACGTACGTGTTCAGTGAGTGAGTCCAGACTGGAGGTCGCCTCGTCGAAGATGATGATGGGCGAGTCCTTGAGTATGGCACGAGCGATGGCCACTCTCTGCTTCTCTCCGCCAGATAACTTCAGGCCACGCTCGCCTACTTGTGTATCGTAACCCTGGAAAGACAGACAATTGTGTCATATCTTCAAAATGTAATTGACTCCTCATAAAGCCGTGTTTGAAATGTGCTGATACACAAATACTTCAAAAGATGAAAAATCCCTAAGGCAAGTTGTGAATAAATCATTAAAAAACATCATTAAACATTTCAGAGTATGGATGAAGGGTGCCGTAAAGATAGAACATTGAAGATAATAAACATACACAGTACTATACAGTTGGTCGCCTCAGAAGAAAATATTTGCAAGATATTAAGACGAAATCTCGTATTGGATGCTAATGCATGGGGGAGGATTGGCCCTTTGTGATTGATATGACGATTATCGAGGTAATGTTACCTTAGGCCATGTTTTCACAGACTCGTGTAGTTCTGCCATCTTGCTGGCCTGATAGACTTGTTCCTTCGACTTGGTGAGGTCCCCGTAGTGCAGGTTGTGGAATATTGTGTCGTGGAACAGAACGCAGTCCTGGAAGTTAAGACCATTGTCTGGTGAATTGTAGATGAGAACATTGCGAAGAGGATTGATGACTAAGCTCATTTGTAGGAGCGTAAAACGAGAATTACACAGTTTCTGATATATTTACTTACATTAAAACTAGGTACAACTTTCAATGGGGGCTAACGTTTTTTGCTCACCATATGGCACAAATTCAGGAAAGGGTATTTTTGTCCAATCATAGCAGCTGTCAAATATTGAACGTCCAATGGTGTAACACTAGCTAATTCCCTATTGGAAGAAGAACGAGAGGTTCACACTAGTGCCATCTGGTGAAAACTACGGTATGTCCCATTGGGCGGCCCGCTCACTGTTTAACTGCAGAAACTAATAAGAATATTTTAATTGAGATAGACATTTGACATTAGTTCTATGGAATTTCTTTCAAAAACCTAGAGTTTGGATTAAGATCATAAACATATACCTGTGGTACAACTGCAATAGCTTTCCTTAAGCTGGCGAGGTCGAGGTCCTTAATGTTCTGTCCGGCCACCTTGATGGTGCCAGACTGGGGCTCGAAGAAACGGAACAATAACCGCACCATCGTCGACTTACTGCAATAGACATAACCCACAAAAAAGTAAATGAATAATGTTTCTGGTTTAGCGTTGAAAACTTCATCAACATAATTACATACAAAAATAATTTCTGTAATCAAATATTTTTCGATGTCACATATTTTTACTTAGTTTGTGATCCCAAATGGGTTTTTTTAAGGGGGGGAAAGCATCGAATGAAGCAGTCATTCGCGGCGGGAGGGAGTGTCATACTCTTACTGGCTAAAAACCACCCCGTTCATTCTTCTGCACTTCGAGTCGGCGCTCCGGTAACCCGTTAGGTTCTCCGCGACATCCCAAATGGGTAGGAAAGCATAACTCTGTAATGACTGACCTAATGGCAGCAGATATGACTATCAACTTGAAATATGATATCAAAAGTATTGGGTTTTGCAATGTATTAAATGTTCAGTAGCAGTACCTACTGTGTGTTTAATATTCTCTTTACTACGAAAACAACAAATAACTTGACGAAGCATAGTATCTTAGGAAAGAGATCTCACCCGCTACCAGATCCGCCAACAATTCCGATCTTCTTCCCGGCAGGTATGGAGAACGTCAAGTTGTTGAATATAGGCTTGCCGTTTATATACTTAAAGCTCACGTCTTTGAACTCTATCGTGGCTGTTTTTGCGTCGCATACTAAAGATGGGGCCTTCTCTTTTTCCTGAAATTAAAAATATATATTTTGCTAATTAAATTTAGAATTGACCAAGTTTAACTATTTCCTCTTTGACTTGCTGTGTTGACGAGAAATTTGAAAAACATCGACAAAACTAAATGAGAGGTTCATTTGAGGCTTGGGCCTTATCCCCATATTTTTTGACATATTTATTTATTTGTGCTTTAGTGTATTCGTTCATTGCATATAGTACAAAAATCGAAAAATATGTGTATACCTTAACAGTTCAGGGAAATAATCAGATTCTGAAATTTTTAGTAAAACATCCACCTTAATAACTATGTACTCAATAATACAATCGTCTAATTCCCAATCCCCAAAAGGCCCGTAACGCATCTATAACGCCTTGGTGTTCCAGATGTCCTTGGGCGACGCCGATTGCTTACCATCAGGTGATCAGTCTACTCGTTCACCGGCTTATGTCATAAAACAATGTAATATGTTGCAAGTAAGGACATTGACCTTGATCCGCGACTGCACGGTCATGAGCGTGAACATGGTCTGCATGTCGATGAGTGCCTGGCGCACCTCGCGGTAGACGGAGCCCAGGAAGCCCAGCGGGATGGACAGCTGGAACAGGAGCCCGTTCACCATCACCAGGTCGCCCACCGTCATACTGCCTGCCACACACGATATACTTAGTAAACTTATCTGACCACTCTAAACACGCTGAAACTGACTTAAGTACTAGAGATATTATACAGACAAAAGTGATACTATGTCCATTTATCTATATACATATAGTATACCTACAATAAATTCTGAACATTGAAAATATTAAAAAAAAATAGTGGGGTATATTACTAGATGGATACCGAACGCAAAAATGAGATATAAAAATTTTTGTCTGTCTGTATGTTCACGCATCACACAAAAACTACTGATTTGATACTTTTATCCTGAAATATACTGAACTGTACGGTTCAGTTCACAGTAACTGTGTCTGTGAATTACACAGTTACTATACCAAACGCAAATATAAGAGTCAAACGTTACGTTGCCCGCAGTGACTTTACGCTATAACTATAGGGCCCATGGTTGAAATCAGCTTGAACCAATATTATAAATGTGAATATATGTGAGTGTGTGTTTGTTTGTTACTCAGTTACATTAAATCGGCTGAAAGGAACGAGATGAAATTTGGAAAACAGGTAGATTATGATGTGGAATAACACATGGCTACTTTTTACCCATGGGAACGTGGACGACGCCACTGGCAGAAGTTAGTTATTAATAAACATTGGCTGTCCAATGGTTTTCTTTAGGACAATCAATTATTGACACCGTCATTATTTAGGCAAATTGGAACTCACGCTACGGTAACTTTATCTGGTGATGACGCTAGTCGACTAAACTTCAGACAGAACTAAATATTTATGTATTACCTTCAGCAATCTGATTGGCGGCCAGGATCATGATCATACTGAGTCCCGCGCTGAATATGGCGTGTTGTCCGAAGTTGAGGACTGCGAGACTGGACGCAGTCTTTAGAGACGCTTCCTCGTACTTCTTCAGGCTCACGTCGTACTTCTCCAGCTCGTACTTCTCGTTGTTGAAGTACTGGAAAGAATATTACGAAACTAAGGGCCGATTTTTCAATCGTCAGTTCATTCTTAACTGTAGAATAAATTGACAAATATTTAAAGTTGTTCCTTAATAAAAAATTATCTAGCGCTAGAAAAATCGACCCTAATAAATATTAAATATCACGAGATTCATTTGAAACAGTTTTTATTAACATTCCAAAACTATAAGATTGAATATGTGTCTTGTGTAAAGCGCAGCTTTGCCTCATCCTTCAGAGAATAAAAGGCGTGATGTTATAAAATTATAGTAATGTAAAACATTTTGAATTTTATTTACAAAACGATGACTATAATGGGTAGAGAACTCATTAAACATTTATTTTTACAGTCTAAGCTATTGTAGAACAACCAAGCATTGTTCGAAAAAAACATATTTTCACTTTAAAACCTTTTCATTAATCTCGTTAATAGTTACCTTAACAGTTTCATAGTTGATGAGTGAGTCGATGGCCTTGTTCCCGGCCTCGTTCTCGGCCTTGTTCATGTAGACGCGGAACTTGGTCCGCCACTGAGTGATGGCCAGCGTGAACGCCGCGTACACGCCCACGCAGCCCCACGCCAACCCTGCGGGGGACAGACAATAGTTACTTGGACTGGTACTGATACTATACTTTTAATACATATTTATATCCGCAAGAGGATAGGAATACAACGTTTTGGCACAAATATACTAGCGATACCTCGACGTCACATAAAATCGGTGTGAACCAACGCTTCTTGTATTTTGTTGTGTGAGTGATGTTACTGGAGGCGCAATTTACCCTCTCTCTTCAACCCAAAAGGCCGACAAAGTACTAGAAACTCCTCTGGTGTTGCTTGTCCATGAGCGGTGCAGATTGCTTACCATAAGGTGGTTCATCTGTTAGTTTGGCGCAATGCCAAATAAAAAAAGTGCACATTCAGATACACTATAATGTTATCAATTTAAAGGCTTACCAGTAAAAGCCAGTCCTCCCTTAAGGCCGAGTATGGTGGAGACGAGTATGAGCTCAAATATAGTCGGCACTATGTTGAACACCATCGCCGATAGAACGAAGTTGATGGCGCGGGAACCACGGTCTATTGTCTGCAGAAAATAAGTAGCTGTGATTGAAATAGATAAATAATTTGAAAAATAAAAATAAGGGAAAAGCAACTTTAACATATTTCCAAAAGGTTCCTTTTTCCAAGTTCACAAAAACGATTTGATAGTTAAATATTATAATTTATAAATTCCAATTGCATTCATATGTTCGAGGCCGTCGGTAGACGGCGCCCTAGACGGACATGTAGTGATCAGATTGGCGATATATTAAAGAAGAGCCAAATTAAAAGTACCCTTAACCGACGAGCATGCATGAAAAGATAGATAACTATTGATGAAGCGAAAGAGGTATGTAAGAATCGTAGTAATTGGCGTTCCATAGTCTCGGCCTACCCCCATAGAGACAGGCGTGAAGTTATGTATTACATATATTCATATGTTCCATTTGTGTGAATTTTATTATGAACTCACTTTAGACAAAGCTCCAGTCTGCCTGCCGAGATGGAAGCTAAGGTCCAAATTATGCAGATGTATGAAGACATTGCAGGCCAGCTTCCTGATGGAGTGCTGGGCCACCTTCGCGAACACAGCGTTCCTCAACTCGTTGAAACCCGCAGCTGTCGCACGAGCAATACCATCTGTAAAAATAAATAATAATTATGTACAGTTTACCTTCAAATTAGACAATTTGTACAGTCCCTGTCCCTCTACACGAGATTTCTAACTCCACATTTTACTTTTTTTATATTTAATGGGCCTAATTAGACCACTATCTCGTCTGGTGCAGGTCTATGCAGTCTACGATGGAGTACGTCGTCCCATAAGCAACCTATTCACTCGAGCCTTGAAGATTCTGGCAAAGAATTCCACTCTTTAGCAGTACGCACAAGGAATTAATTATTATTAATTTATTAATTCTAATCATTTTATGAATAAAGAAACACACGCTTTATCTAGTTTTTAAATTGTTCTGAAGTTTCCATTCCGTTATTCAGTTTATTTGTATAATTAACTGAATTACTGGTGAGTTAGAGATCGCAGTTCGAATGAACCAGTATATGGAGTACTGCTGTCTAGTAGCTATCTGTGAATTTGTGAAATGTGAATTTTAGCATTCAGTACCAATAGTCGAAATCAAATTGAAACGAGACCGCGTTCAGCGCTCTTATTGGTTAGTTCATTGGAGCCAGCCAATCAGAGCCCCGAACGTGGTCTCATTTCGATTACTTTTAACGGAAAAAATTTCGTACTAAGCCCTCAACTCTTCTGATAGTCACAAGAAGAATAGAGATCACCGGATAAATGTATTTTTTTTTTAAAGGAACCTTTTCTTTTAAGGTAACTCAACCATACGCTACTTACATCCAATCAACAGCGCGAAGGCCGTGGTACCGACCGCCTGCGGTACAGTGGCGACCCCGAGCAGAGCGTCCCCGGCCGGCGTCACAGCCGCTGCATTCACCTCGTCGATGGCGTACTTGAACATGAACGGAACTGACACGTTCACCACCTTGGCACCAAACAGCAGGGACAGGGAGACCAACACGCGGCTTCTGATCATCAGGTTGTCCTGTAATGTGATTGAAGTGGTCATTAGAAATGGTAGTGAGCGAAAAGAAGTTGTTGAGAATGTAACTAGATGGATGTGTGACGCTAAATGTTTTAATTATTTTTATGTTACACTCTCTGATAGTAATAACTAATACATATTTTTATGATTCTCCATTATTCCTTCATTAACATTATATAACAGTTATTATAGTATTTTAATGATGTCACAATAGTTACATTATATGTATTCTACAATCTACATTAATTCAATACTGTTCAGTATATCAATCAAATCAAACCAACTAAAACTGATCATGCTATACAAGATCTCTAAAATTGTCAGTTCATAATGGGTACAACACTATACTACTTTTTAAAGCAAGAACATTTCTAATAATTTCCATTTCTATACAATACAAGTACTGATGTTAATGAATCTTGCATTACTAATTATTAACATTCAAGGTTTCTTTACTTTGTATTCATTGAAACATCAAACAGCTGCTCCATTCAATAGCCTGTATATAATATAAATGTTACATCTTACCTTAGGCCACACATATTCCAGCATCCCGCGGATCATATCGACTCCCGAGACCGGCTTTGCATCCCCCAGGTTTATATCTTCACGAGACAAAACAGAGGCACCTGGGTGAAAGCAGTCTCTTTTTTGGATACCTAGGAAGGGGAGAATATAATGAGGAAGATTCAGGATACATATGGGTTATATGTGAAAGGAGAGGTGAGAAGCGGGCAGGACACATGCAGGACAAAAAGGATGTAGGGGAAAAACAAAGAGCTGCGTTCCAACCAAGTATTAGTAACAAAAAATACACAAAAATAACAGTAGCAAGAGTTTTGCTAAGCTAAGTAACAATGTGCAAGTTCTACAAACTACGAAGTACGAAACAATGGCGAACAGGAGTCAATGCACATTTTAATCTGAAAGCAGAATGGACAGGCATTACGTGAATTATTAACGAACACACATTCACAGTGATAATGCAACATGGTTCGAAATAATAGAGGAAGTGTCATTCTACTTGTACACTAGTCTTAATAATTAACGTTTACAAACAATGATAACAATGTAACATTATTCTAGAGCAGGGTTTCCCAAACTATGGGTAGGTCGCAAAAGAGTTTTTAATAGGTACTTTTCATATTGGTAACTTAATTTCCTAAAAGGACCCACACCCTGAGTTTGGTAACTTGATTTAGATAGTTTGTAGTCCAGGCAACTTAGGGAACCGCTGTTCTAGAGCAATCTTCGTAATTGAGTAAATAATGATAAAATAGAACATGAATAGACATTATTATAGGTACCTAATCTTTAGCAAAGTCACACATTTATATGGAGGTATGATACAAATGAGTTACTGTTATCTAACATGACAATGCAATTTACTTTTTTACAATCAACTTTTACACTGAAGTAAAATATTTATAAATAATATTGGTGCAGTATTATTGTTTATAATCATACAGGGTGTAAACGGAAAGCTCCCAATAACACTGAGAAAAACAAATAGTTTTTACAATTTTAAATGTTTTTATTTACTAGTTATTCATGCAACATGTGCCTTAAACGGTTGATTACAATAACATAACATCACGCCTTTTATCTTCGAAGGGGTATGTAAAGGTGTACATTATGCCGCTGTACAATGTAACAACCACTTTTCACTATTTATGTTATAAGTCCCATGTAATATGGGGTGAATCTATTGCCATATACCGGGCACAATTCCAAACTCCGTACTACTACTGAGAATTCTTTAAACCCAGGAGTATGTTGCCCACCTGGGAATCAAACCCGAGACCCATTGCCCAGCAGTCGCACTTGCAACCACTAGGTCAAAGAGGCAGTAGGTTGATTACAACTATTATTAAATAAACCCAAACATTAAATTCTTTACTTTTATAAAAATAAAACTTGCTTTTTATCATCACCTCTCGTTGTTTTTTGGCAGGGTTCTGTTTACACCTTGTATTTTAAAAATGCATCTAGTATCCTAGTGGAAAAAGGATTACAAGGAGTATAAAGAGTATATTTATATTTTCTTAAAGACAGAAAATTCTGAACAGAAGAATGAAAACAAACAAAACCTTGATCTTTGCATGAATTGAAATTATTTATCAGAAGTAGGCAGACAGAAGATACAATATCTAATCTGCTTTCCATAAAATAGGACTTGGGTCTCATTTAATCAAACTTGGAGATTAAATTTGACTTATTGGTATTGACGAAAATGAGACAAATGGTACTATTATCATTGATTCATAATTATGGCTTTATTATGATGTTTAAATTCTAGTTGGATTCTTCTAATTAGAGTGTTATCAGTGGGTAGTTGTACTAGGTACTGGTGTGGGAGCTAACATAAGTTTAATTTTAGTGCTATCATTCAAGTACAGTTACAATGTAGTCTAACGATTAAATTAACACTCCATACAAGGTCATTACCAAAAATATTATGTAACTTTACTTCCCGAAACTTCTATATTTACAAAATGTATTCTCTTCGAGCTCCCTGCGTATATTTTTAATAGAATTATGTGTATATTATTTATTTATGCTTACCAACAGGTATTTTTCCCGTTTTAGGTTTGTTTGCCAACACCGCTGCCAACACATTTTTCGCTGAATCCGGTCCACCAGGCGGACTTGGGCTTGACGAAGAATAATGCTACAATAAATAAATTGATCATTCAACACCATTTCTTCATACAAAACCCTTGAAAACAATAAGAAATGTAACCAAATAAATATGGGTTTATTCCACACAAAACATTACCCTGTAATGACTTGCAGCTGCACATTGTTGACATGTCACGTATAACGGTGGCTTGTTTACTATATTTAATGTCTTACTGTGTAAAGATTTGGCGAATTTAATGTGATGTCGAATTAATTTGCTCAAATTCTTGTTTGACAGCATTGCGGCCGCCATGGTGGCAAACTGACAACTCCTATGACAGCTTGTTGATTGTCAAACGATTTTGGATTTGACAGCTGAAAAGTGTTGCCAAATAAAATTAAATGAAATAAAAATAATAACAAGTAAAAAAATGTCCCAGAATCTATGGCAATACGCAATGAAAGTACATTTAATTTCATCAGCTGTAATGAAATTTGTTTTGTAAATCATTTTTTTTTTAAAGTTTTACATTGGTATTTAAGCGACTAAAGCTTAGAAGTTTATTAAAGATGCAAAAGAACAATAATTTGAAGTGGAGCTTAACTGATTGTATTTCGAGATGTCCAGTAAAGAAGCTGGACAAATTTTCACTAAACTTAAGATTACCGATGTTTTCGCTCGAATAGTGACTATGGGTAGGAACCGTATTACTGTTTACATTTATCTGCCTAAAGTGAAAAATTTACAAAACAAACGATTTTATGTCTAAAATAATGACAGCTTGCATTGCAATATTTATACTTAGGTATAGGTTAGTTTTGGGTGGTATTTGGTTGGTACTTACCTTTAGTTATTGTTCCGAGGTACTTACGCTGTAGGGGTTGCTATATGATATGGAAGACCTGTGGCGCCCTCTATACTTCTGATTCATAAAACTTGCTTCCTGCACCATAAAGATTTCGCACAAACAGTGCAAACTTTCAAAATAAATAAAATCATTTTTTCATACTAAGTAAGTAGACGTTTGGTAACCATTACCATCTCGCCTGGTAACATCATGTTGTCGGTTATTCAACCATCTTGTATTCAAAATTTAATTGCAGTATAAGTTTTGTAGGGACACTCCCGTCCATGCTTTTGACTTTGTTATTATTATTACTTACCAACCTACCTTTGTTGTGTTGGTAGGTATTTCTTTAATTATTTTGCCTATTCGTAAAGTATTCTTTTCTTTTCTTTACAAAAAATATAGTAGGTATGCGAATGCTTTCTTAGATAGGTACTTGGGTAATCCTCACACTATATCTCGATTTTCCATGCTTTATCTCCCGCTATCATAATATTTACTAAGTTAGTTACTAACAATAAAAATATACGATCTGAATCGGAAAGAGGCAAGCCTGATTCTGTTCGAAGTTAAATGGTTCTGATTAGAATACTTCTGCACATTCCTTGTTAGATTGAAGATTTATATTTTAAAAAATATGTTTTTAGCTTACTCACGCAATTATTTGACGAGGAACTCGACCAGTTTCAAGCCATGCTATTTTTCTTCATGAGCAGCATTTCGCGACCTGCAAGTAAGCCGAAAACATAATAATTTATTTAGTATGTCTCTTATATTTTAGATACCTATAAAGATTCGAAGGTTAAGCATCTAATAAGAAACAATTTGATAAAATTTTAAGGAAAAACCATCAAAATACCAAATACACGTATGTTTACCTAGTACCTACTACCTATATATTATGGTAACCTGGAATAGATAATGAAGTAAGTTCAGTCGATTACTTACTTAACCGTATGCCACCAGACAGGTAATTAATAGTAAGACAACAACCTAACGTAAAAGTAGGTAAGTATTATAGACTTAGTACCGAAGAATACAGCCTGAAACCTCTCGTTAGGCACTCGCACTTGCAACCATTGAATGAACAAGGCTCACAACATGTTTGATCAACAAAACACGAGTTAACTTTTTATCGCACAGACAGAACCCCAAAACACTAATGGCCCGTTACGTTGTCGACTCGATAAAATATCTATATGCAATAGTCTTCCGCATCCGCGTAATACCCTTTGATCGTAAGCGTTATATTTAGATGACGTCCTAGATTTTTGAGACATGTTATATTAGTCAGACTATCGTCAGGTTAGTGTGTTGATCTAAGTGCGGCGGCTATAGACAAGGAATATCAATTTTTCCACTGAATGGTTGCCAAAAAGGGGGGGGGGGGGTACTAGATTTGTGGATTTTAGCTTTCGGTACAATTCGGTGCTCACCTATGCCTTTCTTATGTAACCTGTAGGTAAGTATTTCAGAACTTACCTACCTAGGGTAGGTAATATCAAACAAAAAGCTTTACAATAAAAAAAGCATAGTGAATTTTTCGGTTTATTAAAATACCCGTTTTTACTAGTCTCTGTTAAATTTTAAGAAACCCCTAAGCTATAAGATATAACACATTACAAGTAAGAAGTTACTTTAGGTATTCCCTCACTTTAAGTGACTTTTAGTTAAGAGATGATATAGAGGTGGTTGATCAAAACGGTCATGGTACCTTAGTTAGTTATTTTTATTGGTTACTTAGTTCAATTTGGTACAGGAATACCTTTTTACTCCGAGCTCTTCGCAACTAGGTATATAGACGATATCGACCTATTCTGAATGCAGTTATTATTTTGGTCTATGGTTTTTAATATCTAAACGTAATTACAAAATATGCACAACATCGGCTCTTTGAATACACATAAAACAAATCAAGACGAATTCTTTACCTTACAACAAGCAATAAAGACGCCTGTAAAAGCTATTGGCAATTGCGCTGTCAATACAATCTCTTACCATCAACAAACAAAAAGGCAGCTTATAAAGAACCATATTTTGACAACAAAGCACAATACAGGTGGATGTTGTTCTATTTACAACGCTCCTACCTCGGTATAGCGAATCGGGTCAGCCGTTAACGATGTACCTACTGTGTTATAGTGGTATAACGCTATTTTCGTGTTTAATGACTTCAAATTTTTGTTATGGGAGATTATATGCGTAATGAGGTATAAGATGGCTGTCACGCCTGTGTGGCCAGTCTTGGACTACCTACGATTAGTATATATAAAAGACTCCCGATATTGCGATTTTAGTATTTAGTTAGATTAGGTTGACTCGTTGGCCGAGTGGTCGCAAGTGCAACTGCCGGGCAAGGGGTCTCGGGTCCGATTCCCGAGTCGGGCAAAGTATTACTGGGTTATTAAAAAAATCTCAGAAGTAGCACGGAGTCTGCAATTGTGCCCGGTATATAGCAATAGGCTCACCCCCTATTGCATGGGACTCAACATAAATAGTGAAAAGTGGGTGTTACATTGTACAGTGGCATAATGTACACCTCTGCATACCCCTTCGGGGATAAAAGGCGTGATGTTATGTTATGTTAGATTAGGTATCCTAAAAGGTATTTCTGTGAATACCTACAACAAATTGTAACGGAAACTATGGGCACACAAATTCGATGGTAGCTGACGTTACATACAGAACATATACATACCTAACTCATGACTTGACCTGCTGTAGAGTATCGAGTACCTCGAACTAACACAAACGATTAAACCCATCGCTAAGTCCAGCTCATCTTTCTTTCGATGCCAAACATTCTTACAATAAACACCAAAAACCAAGAGCAAGAATCTTGCCCTTAAAATATTTGTGAGTAAGGTATGTGGCCCAGATATCGGGCGGTACAATTTCACTGCGCCCTCTCTTTTAATCAAAATAATTAACTACACATATGATTTATTGCCTTAGTGCGGGGAGGGAGCATGTCTACCCGCCACTTTTTACCTTGCCGATAATGTACTTACGTGTACACAAGTGTTCGCGAAATATATTGCGTGTACCAAACGCCACCAGGTGTATGGTTCCACATTCAAGCTTTATTTAAATCAAAGGGCCAAGAAAATAACCCTGGGGTACTCCTATGAACATACATTTTATTCTAGTTATTACGGCGCCTTATTCTCAGAACCGGTGCAGTACTCTGTTGAATTGTTGATCTAGAAAAAAGAACTGTAAATGTACCTAACCTTAAATGGAATATAACTTTTTTCCCTGGCACTGTTCTCTGTCTTTACTGCTGATTGACTTGCATGGGATCCAAAATAATTTGTTGTTTGATTGTCTGAATTTACTATCAATATTTGTTGGCCAAGTTTCCACTTTGCTAATAAAAGATTGAGAAATCTACGGGTTAAGGGGTTCTCTCACTTAAAAATGCATTTTCTTAAAATTTGCAAATCACTTCTCTTCACTCCGGTACATGGTGTTTGGGAGAGAAAAAAAGCTTCGAATGCCACCAACATCGCAGTACTGTTACGGTGATAAGTCTGTGTAATTTTTTTATCTGCTTCGATATAATTTAGCTTTGCCGTTATTCATGAAGGCAACTGTCTCAGGCCTTTCATTTGGACCGGCAGATAGAGAAATGGGATTTATTTGGGAGTTTTATATTATGAGGATAAATGAGACGCCTCGTGAGATTATCAGAATAACTACTATCAATGATTGTGAAGGCAGGATTGATTATAAGAAGTACGTATACACGTCGAATTGAGAATCTCCTTTTTGTATCAAAAGGCTTAAGAATGTGGGTTTCGTCTAGCCCTCTCTAATATTATAAAGATTTTTTTTATAAGAGGAGTTATTTAAACATAAACACAATTGACATTCTTGATCACTGACATCATCAAAGTTCAAACAAAACTAACAATAATTTAAGACAATCCCATAAATAATAAAACAAATCATTAAAAATACTTAAGATTCTGCTCCGACATCGTCAAAATCATCACACCATGTCTTCCAAGTCGGTTAATAAATAAATAAACATACAAGTGATTACCGACGACCGCCGGGGAGTTGAAAAAAGTCGAAAAAAATACAAAAAAAGTCCGCGAAAGCCGTACAACTCAATTTTGGAGGCACAACGCGATGGAAATAAAGTTTAAAAAAAGTCGTACGGGTCTTTATTAGTGTGCTGGGGAACGGTATCGCGAATTCGAATTTTATTTAAATATATTGATCGAGTATCGAGTACTTTAACAAAAATGGCGGTGAGCTTTTCGTGGTATAAAATAAAATAAAAATTTCTATGTTGAAATATGTTGGCGAAAAGTATCTAGGTGTTACCGAAGTAAGTACCTACATATTTATGTCAATACTTAATGGTGCAAAATCAGTGATGTTAGGTTTATTTATTCCAAAATGAAAAAAGAACACCACTAGAATTAAAATTATATAATTAATCAACGGACATTTT